CAAGCAAAGGCATTTTGAGTGGATAGAAAGAAATTTCCTCTACATGTAATAGTGTATTGGCTGCTACCAAGCAGCACTTTTGCCCAAAGTAATACACTCATTTCTCTTTTCGGCCAAAACTCTACTTCTAATGGATTCTCGCGTGCCTAATCTACAAGTAGGCAAGAAATCCACACAAAGTCACATAAATCGGCCACCGGGTGGACGGTAAAGCAAAAATACGCAAAGACTTAAGGAACTAAAACTCGGCTCATAACATAAACCCGCTCCAACGCGGTCCCAGCAAAACTTGGCTCATAACATATACCCGCTCCAACGCGGTCCCAGCAAATTGTTGTCAACACAAGAAAAAACCAAAAATCCGCTCCAACGCGGTCCCAGCAAATTGTTGTCACATCATCCAGATTACATAACGACAAAGATCCCTTAAAAGAAAATGTCTTTGGTACGAAATCGTCCAACATGAGATAGAAAAACCAGGTAGAGAATATCCAAGAGCGGTCTCAAACGTTCGGAGAACCTCCACTGCCAGCATCACCATCTTCAACCTCCTTCTCACCCCCCGCCTCATCTTCCTCCGAATCATCCGCTTCTGAGTTAACGTCTGAGGCGGACCAGTGGCCAATAGTGTCCCATACGTGGTCAGTATCCCAGCCCAAGTCAGGACATTCCACACGGAATAGGTGACGAATGGCGGCCACTACGTTGCCGACCACCTCTTTGTACTTCGCCTTGTCTTGAGCAAGAAACTCCGTAGACTTGAGGTAGGCAGGACCCGCCTCAGCTCGCACAGCGGTCAACTCCGCCTCATGAGTCACCAGCAGGGACTCCTTCTCCAACCTCAGAGCGTCCACCTCTTTGCGCAAAACATCTTGTTCCTCCAAGAGGGTCTTCTCAATCTCACCGGACTTGCGAAGTGAGTCTTGGAGGCAGTCCCTTTCTTCACGAATCGCCTTCGATGCCTCCCTCTCATTAGATAGCTCATTATCCTTGCGAGCCAATTGTTCACTCAAACTCTTTTCTATCTGAGGGTGCAGCTCCCCCTCTAAAGCTGCACGACCGTCCTCCACACTCTTCTTCAGGTTCGCAATGTCGACCACATTGTCATCCACGGTCTTGGACAAGCGGTCGTTCATCAGGATGATTTGCGAAAATCCGATCTGAGCCTGCAAAACAAAAGATAAGTCACTACGCAAAACATCAACACTTACAAACCGCCTCAAGAGATTGCAACCACTGACCCCAAAGAAAAACTGTGACGCGGTTCCCGCAAGACGACGGTTTCTCTCTGACGAAGTAGCTGTGTACTCGTTGGGCATCTCAAGCTGCTCAGTGATAGTATGGAATGCCAGCTCAGCTGCCTCCGTATCGGTGGCTGCCAGAGGAGGGACGGTCACGGAGCCAGGCTTGGTTTGCCGCTTCAGAGCAGGACCGTGCTTTTCCCCGGCCTTGACACGAGGAGAGCTGACCTTCGTGCGCTTTGAAGCCGCCTCAGGGGCCCCATGCTCTATCACCCTCTTTCCCGCACCCCGAGCAACAGGAACTGAGGACGCACTAGCCGCACCGGACGGTCTCGCAGGGGATTGAACTTGCGGAGCCGCCGACAGATCAATCATCGTAACCGCGGCTGACGGAGACGCATCTCCTGCTCGTGTGGTCCTCCCGGCCTTCCTCTTCTTCGGCCTGTTGGCATCCGCCAACTCCTTTAGCCCTGGAGAAAGAAAGCATAAGTAAAAGCACATGAGAAGGATAAGAACGAAATTCCAAATGTTCACTACTAACCATAAAAACCGCGAACAAGCTAGTATGCACTGTTAGAGCCGCTATGTTGCACACGTAGCTGAACGCCCTCCACTATCCGCCCCACGTGGTCCCGCACCGACTTAGAGAACTGGCTAGAATCACATCAGTCATCCTTTGAGCCAACCGCATAACCAGTAGGCGGTTCTACATCACCCGCGTACCATTTCCACGAGGGGCGGGCAAAAAAATACTCCTTATACCACGGTGATTCCAGCTTAGGCGCCCCGGTCACAAAAACGACTGAGTTTTCCCGCCTCCCAATCGACCAACAATTGGTCGAATCTCTAATATTGTAAATCATTTTAAACGCATCAAATGAAGGATCCTCCTTAAGGCGGTCCCACGCCAAACAGTACATAACTGACTGGAAGATAATCGTCGGTGAGAGACACCCCATAGTGCATTGGAGTCGATGCAAAATCCTTGTCAGAAGGTCATCGAGGGGAAACCGTAACCCGAGCTTAACATGTTCAACCAGTATAGGTATCCAACCGCTGGGGCATGATCCGATGTGACTCCTCCCAGAGGGGACCGCGTAAGGCCATTCCGGAGGCATACGCAGCGACTTAAGTCGGTATAACACCTGTTCAGACTTAAAAGCCGCTACATGAGGAGGACCCTGCTCGAAGACCTCCTCAGGAATGGGCTCCCCATCCCACATACCCGCATGACGGAGAACAGTATACACAGAATCCTTGATGGCAATAGGAAGCCGTCTCGGTTCCCCGTTCTCTGAAATCTCCAACAAGGAGGAAGTACTCGAATGCGCCCCAGACCGCACTCCGCCACTATCTACCTCCTCCGAGTCTTCCAATGAGATGCTATCTAAGTCTACCCGCTCAAATTCCCCAAGATTTTCCCCAACCGCCGACGAGGTGGCCACAACCCCAACTGGTACAGGGTGGAGGTTAGCACAAGAGTTATCTAAGTCTACACAAGCCCCAACAAGGCAATCTCTCAATTCATATCCATCTCCAACATATAACTCTAACCCGGATAAATCCCACACGCACTCAGACATGCTTCGAACGGGAGAAGAATGGTTCGTACCTTGAATACCAGAAGCGGTCTCCGCAATTTTCTTCTCGGTGGTGCGAGAAGGTAATGTAGCGGCCGAAGTCGCGGGGTTCTTCCCAGACGATACCGCGGGTCCAAGATCAGCGACCGGAGCGTTCCCCACGCCTGGGGCATCGTGTCTCGCTCCGCTGATCGGGGATGGAGGACCTTCGCCCGACATCTGTCGACGGCGAGAAAGTCGCAATCGGCGATTCCCCGATACCCAAAGCAACGACGCCACCCACAAGAGCAACACGTGAGTCAGCAAAACCAAAGAAATCACACGCCCCAGACTGAAAAACCAAGCCAAAAACTCACCTGGAGGATCGAATATATAGACGGCAGAGTCGAAGACCTTAGAGCTTTTCGCAGAGAAGGGAAAGAGGAAGAAGACGAAGAGTTTTCCCAAATCGGAGGAGAGTGGCGAGGAAATTTCTCCCAAAATCCTACTTAAAGGCGAAAAGGGAAAGAAGGACGCCCCGACAAGACGCTTTTCGCGAAGCCCGAGAGCGGAACACCGCTAGAGGTGACGTTCCGTTTGCTGGTGTCAGGGCTCTGCGCCCGATGCATGACACGTGGCGATGGTGGGGCCGAATAACGAGAACGGACGCGGTTCTCACCCCTCAGGCGCCCTGGCGCTACGCTTCCGCGACTAGGGGCAACAAGGGAATCATACTCCATGCGGCCTATAACCGCCCAAAGTGTACTATGAGCCAGAAGGCCCAGAACCACTCAACATTGGCGAAAGATATCGTTTAGCCACGAAAACCCATCGCTTCCCACGCCTAAGGGGCAAATGTTGGGCCAAATATTGAGACACTTGAGCTCCAAGCCCATAGTCACCTAAAACCCATAAAGAAACAAGTTGGGCCTGAACAGGGGCAACGAGCCACGAAACCCGCCAAAGGTGGTCTCTCTCTACAAATACGACGAAGACCGCCCGACATAGAGAAAAGACCGCCCAATATAACGGCAAACGGATACCTGACCCTACTGGTACGGAGACTGACAAAGGTACGTTCTGACGATACAACCAATACCGTCGAAGGCGTCCCAGGATGCCCGACAAGTCATTAAATGCCCACGATCCAACCACAACTAGTATAAATACCCTTTGATGAGCTACATTGAGGGTAACTTCTACCAACTCCATTCTCTCTCTTATTTACTATTCTCTCACTTCTCTCTCTAACTTAGGCATCGGAGGAGGTCCCAGGATCCACATGAGGACCTTTCCTTGCAGGTTTCGGAGACCGTCATCGACCATCATAGCCGCCTGAGGTCAGTGAGGTCTCACAAAACCGCCTGGTATATTCCAGGCACAAACAGAAACCTTGGTCCGTCTCCGCCTCCCTAGGTCGACCGACTCTCCCTCCTTTTTGTAGAAAAGGAATGTACCTTATCACACTTTAAGAGAGAGCGGGCTGGAATAGAATGAAGGGTTTTGTCGATGATTAGGGATGACAATTTAATCCCGCCCTACTGGGTACCCGACCCAACCCGCGATGGGTTGGTATTACCCGACCTGTAGTAGCGTAGGGCGAGGAATGAGTATCTACTTTCGATCCGTCCTTTCTCGTCCTGTCCCGTTTTTGTCCATTTTATTTCAATTTCATTTTGACTTTCTTCAACTAGTTAAACTCAACTATCCATTCTATTATCACTTGTTTTCATTCATAAAGTGTTTTCCTATTCATTTTATCGTAAAAAGTAAAATTTAGAGTGTAATTTTTCAAATAATATGTAAGAGTGGGTCGAACCGCCTCATCCCGTACTCGTACAATAATTAACCGCCCCGATCAGCACTAACATGAGGTGAGACATGAGTAGTAAGATACCCGCCCCACCCTATCGCCATCACTACGGATGATAATGGAGAAGGATTAGTTGGGCAACAAGGATTATAGTTGTGGCCTGTGGGTACTGTATGATACTTTTATTCAATAATATATTTAAAATTCCTATGACTTACATCAAATTTTCCCACTTACGTGTGAGATCAACTTTCAGCTATCGATCTTAAGACCGTGGATCGATTTGGAAAAAAACTAAATGGGGAATTGGGCTCCTGCCGGCCCAAACCAAAACTATACACGTCTCCAAAAAAATATGGACACCCGAGCAATTTTTACCTCCAGGCCTTAAACTTGAACTCTTTTACCACCATCTCCGTCACCGGCACTGCTCGCCTTCCCCTCCTTGCCGCATCCGGCCCTCTCAATCACCGCCGCCAATTTCACCCAAAACGCCACTCCCCAGTCCCACACATGCAAAACCACAAAGGTCACGATCCCTCCTATCATCCCATAAGCTATGGAATACGTCACCGGCATCAGTATCATCGTCACGAACGCCGGAATCGCCTGCCGCATATCCTCCCACTCGATCTCCACCATCGGCTTCATCATCAGAACCCCCACCAAGATCAACGGCGGGCCCACCGCCCACGGCGGGATCGAAGCCAGCAACGGCGTGAAGAAGAACGCCGAAAAGAAGTAACCCGCCACCGTTAGCGCCGTCAGTCCCGTCCGCCCACCCTCCCGTATCCCCGTCGAGGACTCGACAAACGTCGTCACCGACGACGTCCCCAAAAGGGACCCCACCACGATTGACGACGCGTCGGACATAAAGGCAAAGTACTGACCCTCGAAATCGCCGTTATCGTCCGTTATCCCCGCGAATTCCGCCATCGAGTAGAGCGTCCCCGTCGTGTCCAATATGTCCACGCACAAAAACGTGACCAAAACTTCCCAAAAATGCACGCTCCCCATCCCGCTAAAGCTCAGCACGCCCGCGGTCTTCTCGATCGCGTGGAGGTCGATCACCGCCTTGAAGTAATCGTACTTCTGATTCCCGATCTCCGTGTCGGGAAACGCCGTGATCGGGGTGTGACGGAACCACGACAGAACCGTCACGAAAACGACGCCGTAGATCAGAGCCCCTTTGATGTTCTTCGCCGAGCAGTACGCGATTATGACGAACCCGGCGACTCCCAACCAGAAGGTAGGGCTCTCCATCCACCCACTCTGGCAGAACATCTCCTCGGAGACCGCCCCGCCGGGAATTAAACTGACGGTGCCGTTAATTATCTTGACGGGAGCTAGCGCTACCTGCGAGGTTCTCGGGCACGCCCCAATCGTGACCAATGTCGATCCGCTGTACCCAACCAGCCCGATTCCTTGATGGCTCTGCAACCCGACGAAGGCGAGGAACAACCCGATTCCGGCAGAGCAACTGACCCGAACCGGTTTGGGGACGAATTTGGCCAGCCTCGCCCGCAGCCCGATTGCGGAGATGAAGAGGAAGATCAGACCCTCGACGAAGATTGCGGTGAGGGCGTGCTGATAAGACAAGTGGCCGGAGCCGTGGTAGCCGACGACGGTGTAGGCGAAGTAGGCGTTGGTGCCCATTCCGGGGGCCAAAGCGAGAGGAAGGTTGGCGAACATTCCCATGATGAAGCAGCCGGTCAGGGAGGAGACGATTGTGGCCACGACCAGGTCTTTCCGGGTCTGTTCCAGGCAGGCCAGGTAGCCTGGGTTGACCAGGGGAGGGAATTTGCAGGAGACGTCGTGGTCGCCGCCGGGAGGGATGCAATCGGAGACGCTGCAGGTGCCGCCGGAGTCGGCGAGGATGCTCGCGTTGACGGCCAGGATGTATGCCATGGTGAGGAATGTGGCGGTGCCGGCTCGGAGCTCGGTGGTGAAGCAAGTGTTCCGCTCATCGAGTTTGAATTGCTTCCCGACTCTGCTTCCGGCCACGTAGTTGTTCAGTCGAGTTAAAATGGAGGTGCTGCCTTCTCGTAAAGGAGGCGTCGCCATTAGATTGGGCGTATGGACATTATTGGGAGGGGAAAAGGGAAATTTGCGTCGGGGGAGAACTCAATGAATTGAACCAAGCAATTTGGTTGTTCTCTGTTTGAATCATTAACTTGAGTTCGGATTTTTGCGGGGCTCTGTTTTTGGGAACTAGTGTCGAAGAATCCATGGGAGCAGGGACAAGGGACAGATGGAGGTATAGATTATTCTCAATGCTGGGGGATGAAAGATGGGATATTTAATTTCCAGACCTGTGCTCTATCTATGGCAGAAGTTGATGGATTCGCTGTGTTGTCTTTGGGGTTTCTAATCCAACAATATATATACTTGGAGAGGTGGGTTGAAAGAGTCATAAGAGATTCGTCGCTCTGGTAGTCACTCTGTCTGTTCTTCTCACTTCCATTATAGTCGGCACGCTCTATAACTGACAAAATTGTTGATCCAACCTGAATCCAGAAAGGACAAGGTTTGCACGGAGAAGAAAGAATCGAAGAAGAACCAGCAGCTACAGAAGAGCCTTTCGTTTGAGAAACGTTTCAGCGAAGCTTCAGTCAAGGTGCAACGCACCGTTTTGACCAGAGTCGGTTAGCCGTTAATTAATCGTTGCTTAGTTTTAGTATTTTACATTGCCCAATGGGATAGGAGAAGATCGAACGAGGTTGGACGCACTCGAATAGTGGGCCCAATCTACTCTAGAACTCTTTGCGGTGAAAGTATTGGAGTCAATCCATCTAGGGTGGTACTCAACCTCGGTCCAACTGAGGAGTTAGGAGGATTCATGTCTAAGTGAGCTCCCAACCTTGCAATTAATTAGGATAATGGTTAGAATAACTTAGTTAGGTTAGTTTCTTAATCACTATTTTTGTTTGGCTACACAACCACATTAAATTGAAGTAACGGTACATCTAGAAACTTGTGGCTTAATAATTTTACTAGTTTTGCGCCCGCACTTCGTCGCGGTAACGAACTAATTATTTGTTTTGGTAGTAAAATTTCATCTACGCATTTCGAGATTTAGTTGAAATTAAAAATTTCGCAAAATAATTTGAGTAAGATACTTCCTTAAGTTTTATGTAGTGTTTTATTTATTAGGGAAGGCTTATGTAATACCATTATTTGATTGGTACATAAGAAATTAATATTTCTTCAACCTTCATAGTTTATTTGTTGTTGAATAACCTTCATAGTTTGTACATAATGTATTTTAAGTTATGAGATGTTGAATATAGTAGGTAATAATTAAGTTACAAATAATAATTTATAAATTTTCATTCATACGTACATCATAAAAGACTTACCTAATATGTTAGTTTAACTCATGCATAAGAAATTATTGTCCCTCCACAAAATTATGTGTTGTCTCAGTCATTATGCAAGACTTATGTTGTATATTTTGTATTATGGAATGAAATAGTACCAAGATAGATGTTTAAAGGGAAACAACCTATTATAAAAACAGCTTTATGGTAAAATGAGTGCAGAATATATACCAAAATTCGGTGAACAGTATTCGCTACAATAAAGGAACAAATCTAATACTATAGTAGGTGACCTTACAAAACACTTTGTGCAATACAAATTGATAAGTCGCCAACAATTTAGCAATTTTCGTTCAAACTTATATCATGAAAGACTTACGTAATATGTTTGTTTAATTGATATATAACAAATTATTATCCCTCTATAAATTTTATGCATTGTCTTAGTCATTATGAAAAACTTGTACATTTTGTAATGTAGATGAAAAAGAACCGAGATAGTTGTCTCAAGGGAACAAAAACTTATTGTGAAATAGGGTGTATGAGTTCTCCGATGAACAGTATCCTTAACATGAGATTTTTTCTCACGTGATAATAATGTTGTTATATTGATTAATTCAATTAACCAATTAATCTGTTGTATTAGTTTGGTCGGTTTAATCATAATATTGTATTTCCTGATTAATAATATTTAGACTTATTTAGTTTAATAGTAACCATTTGAACACCCTTGCCGATATGGATGGTTTGGAAGGAGAAGGAAGTATCACAGGAATGTGGAAAGGCGATGTTATGCTAGGTGGTCGGTTTGGTTATGACTATAAGATAATGTTAAGTTTGTGTTGGTTGTTATGTTTTATTTATTATATGAATTACGGATTGATACATTAATGTGAGATTTTCTCACGTGATAATAATGTTATTTTATATGGATTAATATGCCAATTATGGTTAATAGAATTTAAACGTATTTAGTTTGATAATTAACATGGTAACCATTTGAATACTGCTGCCGGCATGGATGGTCTGGAAGGAGAAGGAAGTATCCCATGTGATGTTATGCTTGGTGGTTTGTATGGTTATGATATTGTATTCTATAATTAATAGAAATTAAACTTATTTAGTTTGATAATTATCAAGAATTAAAAAATGTACTGTACTGACGGTTCGACCAGAAAACCTCCTCACGGAGTGAAACCGGTTGGCGGTATTTGGCCGTATGAAATGGTTGAATCAAGGTTAAATCAACCACAATTTCATAATAACGTACCTAATCAAGAACTTTTTCGGTACAACCTCCTCTGCGCTATTTCAATCCTTAATAATTACTATGATAACCAAAGCATAAACAACCGATAGAAAAAGCATATCAAGAATGAAAGGCGATGTTATGCTTGGCTAACCCAAAGTGGGCTTTTGTGGGAGCACAAATATAAAAGTGGGTTGCCCATAACTACCGAAAAAACCATCCCAATTAATTACTTGGGCTTACATATATAAAGTGGGATTTTGCTAAAAAATCGTAATGAACAGTAACTTACCTGTCGGTAACTTGCGCGTTTGTGGGAGCACAAATATAAAAGTGGGTTGCCCATAACTACCGAAAAAACCATCCCAATTAATTAAACAACCGATAGATATCAAGAATGAAAGGCGATGTTATGCTTGGCTAACCCAAAGTGGGCTTTTGTGGGAGCACAAATATAAAAGTGGGTTGCCCATAACTACCGAAAAAACCATCCCAATTAATTACTTGGGCTTACATATATAAAGTGGGATTTTGCTAAAAAATCGTAATGAACAGTAACTTACCTGTCGGTAACTTGCGCGTTTGTGGGAGCACAAATATAAAAGTGGGTTGCCCATAACTACCGAAAAAACCATCCCAATTAATTACTTGGGCTTACATATATAAAGTGGGATTTTGCTAAAAAATCGTAATGAACTGTAACTTACCTGTCGGTAACTTGCGCTTTAAAGATATAATAATAATAATAATAATAATAATAATAATAATAATTACTTGCTTACCGTATGGTACACCCGATTGTTGGTTATGCTTAGTATTCCATTCAGAGGTTGTAGTTAGAGCGAGTCATCCATAAAATACATCACGTAAATTGCTAATAAAATTGTCAACTCATAAATTAATTTTTAACTTGTCTTAAGTGTAATATCTGCAAGTCATAGAACCCTCATCGTGGAAACCGACTCTCAGCTAGCCATTCAACTTGTGAACAACAGATCAAACCCTTTACACCCATATGCAGCCCTCTTAACGGCCATCAGGAGACAGATTGCTCAAGATTGGATAGTGAATCTAGTTCATGTATACCGAGAAGGGAGTAGAGTCGCGGACTGGCTCTCAAAGCACAGTCTCGTCTATCCCTACGGTATGCATGAATTAAAGACACCTCCTAATGAGTTTCACCTGCTTCTGCAGTAGGATACCAGAGGCGTCACTTTTACTAGACACATAGTCTCTTCGTCTACTGTTTCCCACTCTTAACCCCTGTTGTCTCTTTTTCTTTGGCCCGGTGCCTCCCGTTATGCAAAAAAAAAAAACAATTTACCAAAACAGTAACAATATATCATATAAGAGAAGAGAGCCTATTATTGAATTTTTCGAGAAATTTTACAATGCTATATAGAATTGGTGCTATAGGTTTTTCTCTTTACGGTACTACTTGAAGCTGTACTTTTAATGTGATGGTAAAACTTCATATTGTACATATACTCTTTTGCACCAATTCTCTTATGGTACAACTTGAACTTGTACCTTTATGTGGATTTTCTTCCAGAAATACCCTTCCAGAAATACCACCCATTAAAAATAATTACAAAAATACCACTCATTTCAGAAAATTCCAAAACTACCACCATATCCTATAAACCGCCACCCCACCCTCCGGTTTACACGAAAACCGCTGGGGTGACGGCGGTTTTTGTTCGGGCCGACAGAAAACCGCGTCTGGCCGGGGTGGTTTGATTGACCGCTGGCAGAAGGAGAGATTAAGGTGCAAACCGCATCCCCACCTAGCGGTTGGTGCTATATTTTTTTCCCGCCTAAATGTCATAAGTGGTCTTGGCACAATTGTATTAGTTGTTTCTTTGTGTGCAAGAAGTCCTAGGTTCGAAACACCATCATCCCATATTAAATCTTTTTATTTAGTAGAGATTAAAAAAATTAGTGTGTTGTGGTGGTTTGAACCCAGATAATAGACAATTAACTAAATTTAGCACAACATCTCCACCACCAGACTACAACACTTTTGTTTAAACAATTTTGCACAAGTACATATTGAGCAACGTTTTACACCTTGAACGCTAAAAATCCTGAATAAACTCACCAGTTTGTGGCGAACTTTTCATCCAGTTATAGATGAAGTGGAGGCTTACCTATTCATTCTTTGATGATAGAAAGATTAGCATATGTGGTGGCAAATTCCTTCACAACAAATGTGTTGCCCATATAATGAACCTTGTTGTGATGGATTGATTGTCTAAGATACATGTGGCTATCAAGAGAATCAGGGAGGCCATGAGATTTATTAGGCAGTCACCTGCTATAATTCAAAAGTTCAATAATTTTGTTGCTCTTGATAATACTATCAAATGTGGGTTGTGTCTTGATGTTCCGACGAGATGGAATTCAACATTTTTTATGTTGCAATCTGCTGTGAAGTATGAAAATGCTTTTGATCTTTATTGGTTATCAGATAAGCAATTTAAAATAGATCTTGA